ATTCCAGTTTCTTCGTTAGTCGCGAAGCGAAGAGCTTCGAAGAGAAAGGTACGGGTAGTGGGATGGAAGAGGAGGCGACGGTAGTGAAAGACAGAGAACAAGTTGGAGAAAAGAGAGTCAGCAGGCTGTAGAGACGAAGGCAACAGCCTAACTCGTCGGAGGTCGGGTCGAATAATAAAATAAAAGAGTATGGTGGATGGGGTGTAAGGTGGTGGCGTGGCAAAGGTAGAAGAAACTTTCTGCTATGGGTACACAACGCGATGGGGCCCCGATGGTCGACCGTCGGCTACGGCTCTGCTGGAAAAAGATGCGTGGCCAACGAATCGAGCCTCGGCCCGAGGGAGAAAGAAACACAAAGAGGGATATCCGACGTTGCCACATGCTCACTGAATTTCCGACCGGTCAAATATAAAGGCCGTCTTTATAAAGACCGCCCCGCGGTGTGCTCGCTTCTCTCGATTATGCCGAGAACCGTGCCATCGAAACTCGCATCAAATTCTTGACGTCTCATTAAACATCGTCAGATTTCAACGAGTTAAAAGACGGATGCTGCCCTCCCCCCCTCCACGCAACACGCGCGCCCCGTGCTACGAAAGACGCGGCAAAGTAATGAATTTCTTCTACATTAGAACCTCTGGCTGCACCTTCTTCCGCGCTTAACCCTGCGAGGCCGCCACCTATCGTCAACCCACATGTTTATTTCGCGGCCGTTCGTTAAGCAACGATCGGAACACCGCCAATGACTTCTTTTAGTCGATAGTTCGACAGTAAAGGAATAATGCAACCCGTCGGAAAGTTTTATTTCCAGGCGTGACGTTTACGACATCGCAACGAATAGCTGATCACCAGTCAATCACTGCTATCTGAATATACGATTTAAAAGAGAGAAAGTTAATATTCACGATGGTATTCGAAACTACATATTTATACACACGTATGTTTTGGTGAAACATTTGAGGTTATTCGGAACATTTTACGAACCGAGATCGTTCTTAAAATTGAATTACGCAGAATAATGCCACTCAACTAATTTACTTGGTTACTTTTAAATACCAATCGAGAGTTGGTATCAATAAGTCACGTTTCCCGATGTAATAGTGAAATTGGTATCGTATTCAGGATATATTACTATCGTATTATTCGTCATTTTTCAAACTTTTTATGCAAAGCACTAAATTCTCGGCGGACAAGGTAGTTATTAAAGTATTAAAATGCCCGATCAGTAAACTTCACAAATCATCCCAGGATTAAGCGCTACTTCCAGTAATACGTTATTACAGCCACGTGATTTAGAGACACCGTAGCGCATTTATATACTAAACAGTTCTAGGCTTAGCAACGATCACTTGACCACAAAACTATCCGTCGAGAAATCCTCAACTATTAGTGGCCGAAGCTAATCTCTATCTACGGATTTATTGCTCGTATCGATAGAGGCTCGTGCCTTAATCGCACTTACGCATATATCGTATCAGATTAACGAAGACGGCCGCCGAAAAGCGTGCGACGGAAGAAAGTTTGACGGGGTCTCGAACGCAAATTACGTCAACACGCATTGGGTACGCGCAATCAACGTCAAAAAGAATTTCACGAGTGGATCTCGTGGAAAGTATTCCCAGCGTCATTTCAAGCACAACCCATCATCCCGAACACAAGTGCTTCGTATATATCGATTGATAACTGCTAATATTTTATCTACGATATTTTGGTTATTGTGTATGCTATTTATATTTACATTTGATTTAAAAAAAATAGTTAAACACGCAATTTATTCGAAAGACAATTATATTTTTACTCCAGTAATAAAATCGTGACCTTGATAAGTAAAAGATAAGGTTAGGTTATACTTTTTTGTATTTTTACAATTTTTCGCGAATTATATTGGCATCGCGGTAATAAATATACGGTACTAAAGTCGTGACCTTGATAAGTAAAAGATAAGGTTAAATTAATTTCTTTTCCCTCTTTAAATAATTTTTAATTGGCAAAACGTTACGTTTATAATAGAAATTTGTCTAGTTTAACACCTCTGGAATGGGGACAAAGTTAAATAAAGTTCGAAGTTTGTACCCTTCGCTAATAAACTGGATTGTAATTAATCTTTTGCCTTTTAAACTTTACCGCCGTCTAGAAATCGTTATTTCTGTTTTGGATATCCGTAGTAAAAATTGACACAAGTTTGTATGTGTAAGCATCGCCATTGAAGACCCGATAATACTCGGATATTGAAGTTTATTTTTGTATTACAAGTATTCTCACTCTTGACATTCATAAAAGTGCGTCAATACTGGCGAACCTTCGGTAAAATACCGACAGGATAATCTAACCTCACGGTGTCCATCGAAAAACAATTTTTCCAACCGACATATAAAAAATACAATTTCTCTATTGAACACTGGCCGCGAGTTAAATGTACGAAAAAGATGTGACCGATTCGATAAAAAAATTTAATTAAAAACTGTCCCCAACTGAAATTACTCTCACCCCACGCGAAATCGATAGTTCGTACGATCCAAAACTTGTCTCGACTGTGGAGCAACGATACATGTTTTGTCAGCGGCACGTGCAAACGTTCTACTTTCGGTATTACCAGTGCCGCGCATTACAAGCGAAATATATAGGTGTGCAGCGGGATTAGATCGTGGGGAACGCGATAATTTTACCGTTACGACCGGCTTAGAATGGCAGAAATGCTCCACTTAAAAATGTTTTGAGATAAAAGCAGAATGGGGAAAAAATGGCGGACAATAAACAGTCACTGTCGCATTGACGAATAAGTGACAGTTTCAATAATGGCGCGTGAGAATGCACCGGTTCTGCGCGCGAGGCACGTGCTTCTCTTTGCAAAAAGGTCGGAAAAGAGGAATGGAGGGGGGCACCTGTTACCACCGCGATACATTATTTCACGATATCCGAAATGATTCCTATTAAAGCCGTGAAACAGATCATTCACAGTTAGCGAAACGCGTTCCTGCTTTCAGGCACATGGGATTACCGTAGAGAACGCTTGTTTGCAAAAGAATACGCCCATTGGTCGTAATCGGCAAAAAAAATAACTAAGAGACGCACTAGGAAATTGAAGGAATAACCGATGCGCCGATATTAATGTCAATTCCGTTGTTCAATTTGCTTAACGTTGTCTACGAGTATCCGCAAATTCGACTACATCGGTATCCATAAACCCCAAGAGTACAAAACACAACAGTGACCTTAATAAGCGACCAACGAGACGAAGATGTATCAACGAACGCTTTGATTTCCGTTAGAACAGACAGTTTAGCATTTAAAATCGTTTATGCGGACTGAACGCTTCAAGTACATCGGCAGTCAGGTATAAAAGAGAAAAGAGGGATACACCCTTTGAATCAATGCGCGAGAGGACGATCGAAAACATTTAGCAACAATAAACTGGCACGAATGGGTGGTGCGACATCTTTTGCAGTGTGATGGTAGATCTTCCGAAATTGATCGTGCTTCGCAACGCGCATACTCTCATTACTACTTGCATATGACAATAAATGGACTTTTCCCCCATGGGAAGGATAGACCGTACATGTGCGATCAGGTAGTAGAAACATAACGTTACGATCGGCGAATCGATAAAAATTTTTACGACGAAATTCATTGAACGGAAACAATGACAACTTCGAAAAGATTGTTTCTTTTTGCGGTGGGAAAGGTTGAGGGTGCGTCTAGTCTTAGGCACAAGCATCGATAGACAAGCACCTCTCGTTCTAGGGGAGAACAAACGACTACAATGTATACACACGCATCATCGATGTTAAGCTTCCTAAACACGGTCGTCGACATCGTGTGATATGGTTTCATTTAACTATGCTGTAATTCTTACCGAGCGTGTGCGAGGCGTGCTAGAAGGGTAGAATCCAACAGACGAAACCAACAAGGAATATTATCCAAGGTAGTCGACGATTAGGTGACCGGCACTACGATACACGCTCGACAATGGCTGGCACACATTAAGTACACTGATGCACTACTTGATGTACACGCACTCTTCACCGGACAAAAGCCACCGATCGAGACGAAAGAGCGGCAGTTCGACACACACGAATTAAATTCACTGATCTTGACTGACCGATAAGTCGTTCCTTGATTGCTTGCGTTTAGATAAAAGAATCCGAACCGCCTCCTCTGCTATCCTAGGCCCACGGTGGCCATTACACTCGTCGCCGCAACGAGAGAGCGTGTTTTGCTTTTTTCCAAGGAGACCAACAACTCGCCCGCTCCGAGGCCGTGGAAGCGACTGTTCTCGGGAGATTCGCGGTGCGGTCTCATCGACCAATCGTGGACCAGCTTTCACCGAGCGCCATCTTGCCTAGCCGAACACAAAGGGGCCAAAACCCGAATGTTTGCGTAAACGTCCGAACCTTAACCACCCCTACTATCCGATCGACGTATCTCCTCTGGCTTTTCTCATCCCTAACTTTCAATACGGATTTTATTGTAGGATTACCCGCCCCACCCTTTCCAACTTCGTATGAACCAATACGAAATTAAGAATCGTATTTTCAACAATGAATCTTACCGTTGTATTATTTCTTATCTTCTTTGAGTGAAAAGTGACATGTTTAACAAATATTCTTAACATTTTTAATAGTAAACAATTAAAGAATTATTTGCTTATACCTCTTGTTAACTGTTCATTTTAAATATTTTAGAGTTTTGAGTGAATAAAACTTTAATATAAATTATATTATATATTACTTGAAGTAACAACCATAAAGTACATTGTGAATTTCTTGATTTCAAAATATATCCAATTTCGCATTATTATGGTTTTTTCAAATATTTAGATAATTAACAAATATTTAATATAATAAATGCTAAAATAAAATAAAGTATAAATGTGATAATTCTTTTTTAAATACTTATATAAATACTAGTAGCGCCATCATTAGAAGAAATGACAGAACATACTCTGTCGGTAATGTTATGACATTGAAAATGATATCATGTGTAACTTTGGAGGTTATGATTTATAAAACCAAATTAATTTTATTTCTGTTTTAAATGAAATTTATGTTGTTTGGTGAATAAGTTTGCCCTACTTATAATTATTTAACAAATATTTACGTTTATATACATTTGTTTAGTGCCAATATATAAAAAGTTAATGTAAACAATGGAAGGGACAAGTGGTAGGAAACAAAAAACCTGGACTGACGAAGAACGATTAGAGCTTGCCTCAAAATTAGATACTGAACTCGATGAATATATAAGTAATTTGGAAAAGAAGAGCTATACAGAAGGATGGCCAGAAGATCGGTGGGAAGAGGAAATGGAAAAACATCCATTTTTCATGAAAAAGACACCGGAACCTGGTGAAGAACTTTCTCCCTTGATGGAAGGGTTGCAACAACTAAAATATGGAGAAAATGAAAATACATCTGAGGGTTTGAATTATTTTATTCTTATTTATAACTTCATGACTTTGTATTTCAAATCTATCCTCTTTATTGTATATCAATTATATATAAATATAGCTAATATTATATTTGCATGTATTTTATAGAACTTGCAAATAATTATAAAGAAGATGGAAATTTCAATTACAAATACAAAAAGTATAGATTAGCTATTTTGAGTTATACAGAAGGCATAAGAACTAAGTGCAAAGATATTGATTTAATGGCACAGCTTTATAATAATAGAGCTGCTGCACATTTTATGTTAAAGAATTATAGGTATATTTCTATATAATATTGAATGCATTTTGATCCACACATTGTAATTTGATAAAGGTAAATTTGTTATGCAAATTACAGATCAAGCTTAAATGATTGTAAGCTGGCTCTTAAATTAAAACCAGGTTATAGTAAAGCTTTGAATAGAGCTGCCGCATGTTGTTTTCATGTGAAAAATTATGATCAGTGTATTGAATTTTGTGATCAATTACTTGACGATTGTGCTTCTGACAAGACAGTATTAAATTTGAAATCACAAGCAGTAGCTGCAAGAGTAAGGCATATCTACATATAAATTAGAGGATATATTTTTTAAGTGTAATTATTATGTAATATTTATAGGAACGTTTAAAAAGAGATAAACGAAAACAAGATAGATTTGACAAGCAATTAAATAAGGAAGAAGAAGAATTGATAAACATAATCAAGTGTAAAGGTATTAATTTAGAATTTACTGAAGAGAAGAAATATCCAGATTTAAAAGATTTAGAACCTCAAATGCCACAGAGAGCACAGAGCAGGGTACACCTAGATGCACAGAATAACCTTATTTGGCCAGTTATGATTTTATATCCAGAAACACAACAGACAGATTTCATACAAAATTTTCACGAAGATACATTGTATGATTTTATACAATACAAGTAATTTAAGTTACCCAGAGAATTAAAAACTATTTTATGTAATAAATTTACTTATTTAGGTTGATAGAACAATTAGAACAGCTGTTTTACGAACCACCTACATGGGATTCACAGAGACGTTATACTCTTCAGAATATAAATGTTTATTTTGAGGGTAAAGATAAATGTTCTTTACATAAGGTGAACATCCATCAGTCTCTAGGAAAAATATTGCAGGACGAGCGGTAATTTTGAAAATTAGTATATACAAAATTTTATACAACTGAAAAGTAAAAATAAAAAATTTCAGATTTATAGTACGTGGAGGAACGCCGGCGTTTTTGATATTTGTAAAATTCAGCGAAGCGGAGAAGCGATTTTTGGCCAACTATTAAATTATTGTGTACAATATTTATAATTAAGTCTAAATAAAATCCTAAAAGCTACCGATAACTATAATTATTAATTGCCTTTCTCTTAATAAATTGAGTTGAGGAAACATATACAGGTACTTTTTTATAATGTCAAAGAAATATTTTATATATCTTTTATAAAACTTAATTTGCCAAAGTGGATCCCACTTTATATGAAGCGTAGAAGGGACCGATACAGTCAAGGTAGGTGATCGAGCAGTGGTGCCACCTGCAACACCTGCCAAAGCCAGATGGGCATAAAGAGTCAGGGCCTCAGTTAGAAATTCAGTTCAAGAAACGCTCTAGAACGTGTGAATGCGTTCCGACGCGGTTACTCTCCTAATTACTATCACAAAATTGTGCTAATACAGTGGCGAAAAAGTGTTGTGTCAGAGATACGATCCACAGGATTTATCGATGTATACTGAAGGTCAGTCGGTTCAAGTTTGAATTGTGAAAGAAGAGGACCTTTACAGCGTGGGAGAGAAGCGGAACGGGACGCAAACGATGCCAAAGCAATGCAGGCAAAATTTTTACTTTTTCATTCCTTAGTATTTTTTTTTTTTTTTTTTGGTATCATTTGTTAATATTTGTTAACAATTCCTTTTTTATTATACTAATTACATATCATAGCTATATTTCTTAAGATGGAAACTATCTACCTTTCCATTTGTAATGAATTTAATCTTAAGTTATGTAAATTCTATTTAATCTTAATTTTTGGAACGAGACGGGAGTTCATTGAATCGCTAATTGGATAGATCTGAATTCTAATTTTTTGAATAGAGAAATACAGTTACTTAAAAATATATTCAATTTTATGGATTACGTAGTTTCCTTATATTAACATGACTAATTCCTTTTTATGTAATTCTACGAAAATTTTGGTAACATTTATTATTTCGTTGAAAGAGACTCGTAATCATATATGCAGATTGGTTTTAATTTCAAGTAATGTGGAACTCTAGTTGTATAGAAACAGTGAATGTTGCGCCGTGCCGATATTGCAAGATAAAAATCGTACGTATCCGGGTTTAACAATTTTTAAAAACAACAGCCACGGCTGACCGAATGGGCAATAAAGAAGAAACGCATTCACGAAGTGAATCAGTGTCTGATACGCTACAACTGACGTGATGTTATTAGTACATACCGATGAGACAATGGCGCGTGTTAAATTATTCATGAGGTCATTGTTGCATCGTAACGCAGATTCAAACGTCGAGCAATTTGAGGTGTGATGAAACCGCTGCATTTGACTCACCAAAATTTGATCGAAATTGCCAGTAATTTCTATCTTCCCAATCCTATTTAATTCACCTGATTGTGCAAATAAGTCAATTATTTTGAAATTAGAAGTATTTTGTGCACCATAAAGTATCTCGTGAGAAGAATTTCATAACGGTATTATTTCTTGAAGAATCATAAATAAATTATATATACTACATGTACTCATAATTACCTTTCTCTCACCCCCTCCACTTTTTTTTTGTCCTTGCAAGATGGTTGTCCTTAGACAAACCGATCTTATTTACTCACGTAAGAGAAAAGAGGAAATTCGAGCTACGTATTAATTGTCTATTTCCATTCGATCGAATCAGGACTCAATGTATTTGATAAAATTAAACGCGTCTTATCTTTGTTCCTGTTCCTGACGTATTTATTCTACTATCAAGATTAAAAACATCATCTTATCCTACGGTAAAGTAGACTCCAGCATCTATCCTATATCTTCATGTTAATCATACATAAAACTTGTATATAACCTATTCAACAAAAATTGGACTCGATTATTATGGACATTTTTGATATGGATATAAGTTAATACTAAAAATGAATTTACGTGTGTAAATCAATCGGTGGCCTTAACTTCATTATCTTTAAAGTCGTTGCTGTCGAGTTGCGAGTGGACAGGATAAAGAACAGACTGGTTCTCGAGGTGGTGGGAGACGGTTACGTGTCCTAGTTTCGCGAGCTACGGTGGACCACGATGCATCTTTGTCCGATGCCCCGAAGCAAATGGCTGGTATATGTCGAAAGAGTTGCGTCAGGTGGGAAGAAAAATCCGCGAACCGGACCGGTTGTAACGACGAGTCAATCTGTTGAAGAAGAAAAAATTCTGAGATATCGTGTGCGAGATAGAATCGCGTTACGTTCAGAGAGACATACCGAAGATAGTTATCTCGGCTCTGCGTCGATGTATACCGGTAAAAAGAGAAATTCTTTGGTAGACGAGTTACTGAGAAAATACCGTACATACGCGCAAATACACGGGCGTGAAATTCGACGAACAATAAATAATTAAAAGAATTAATTTCTTCCTGGTTTAATATGTATTTACCTAGTCGAGAAATATATTTAATATTTTATATATTTAACCATCACGGTTTTGTTGAAATTTTGTTTATACGTTTTCAATGAATATCTCTCGAAACGTAATCTCTGCACTTTCTCCCTTGCTCTAATTATTTTGTCTATAAACACGGTCAAGGTATACGTAAGTGTAAAATCTCCCGTTTATTTCTCTCTAAAGTCGTATATCTCGCTGCAGTTTGGTTAATGAAAGTGTTTAAAAAGAAATGAGGGAAAGTAGAATGAAAATATTGAACTGACGCCATTTTTCTCGAGCCATTTTGTCTCCAACTACTTTTCGTCTCTCTTTGTTCCGAAAGAAATGATAGAAGAACAATGTCTCAATACAAAGTAACGTAGGCAATGTCACGATAGAATTGTACTGCGTTCCATCTCATGCAAGACGGTCACGAGTAAACAGATTCGGATTGTCGGTTACTCCTTTGTTATTCTGTACCTTTTTCTCCTTTTTCCTGCTTTTCTTGCCTTTCCCCCTGTCCTTTCCAACGAATAATGATATTTCACACAAGACTATGTATATAGCTATGTAGCTGCATCACGACAATTTGTTCTTTCCAACGAATAATGATATTTCACACAAGACTATGTATATAGCTATGTAGCTGCATCACGACACGGTCTAACGGCATTCAGTCGACCTCATCATCCCGCTTCTCCACATTCAGTCACACACATTCTTTTATTTTTCTTACTCTTATATTACTTTTACCAATTTCTGTTCCTTTTCTTTTCGTTTCATTCGTATCCCTTTGTTCTCTCACTTTTTTGCTACTTCTCGTTTTTCTTTTCTGTCAGTATTTCTCTGATCGTCTCTTTCGCATTTTACCGCGACATTTATTATTTTCCTTTCATATCTACGATCTCTTCGCCTGCTCTGCCTGTTTTCTCTTTGTACAGACGGAAATTAAGGAAAACGATTAAAGCTGAATACGTATTCTTTCATTAACTACTCCCGGAAATCAATTCCAATAATTTCATCTCCTCATTCACGTGGTTAACCATCTGACGCATTTCAATTGATATACCGACGTATTGTCCAATTAGTGCATCTATATGCCGTTTGGCGACGCGCGAGTATGCTCAGCCTGGATTTTGGTAGGAGTCCTCTCTCCGCCAATAGGAAAGCTGTCACTCTTGTTCCTGTATCCATAAAGTGTCCACTTTCAATTATATAATTGTTTATGGACGTGAAAACTTTTGGTATTTATATTTCTTAATGTCTTACGATGCTTTTGTTAAAGGTGTTATAAACGATATCTAAAGGTTGAATTAATCGTTATGTTTTTTTGTCTATAAAAAGGGAAATGTCTATCAAAACGTTCATTTATCCTCGCCAGTATCTCTTATTACTTGGTCTCATGATAGATCCTGCGGGTCGTTATCGTTTTTCATTAACATAACAGGTATTAATGTCAGCGATGCTGCGTCAAGGTTCCAATTACGAAAATCGTGGTGGTGGTGAACATCGAGACCAGTTTCGACGTAACTTGTTCCCGTTTCTATGTGAGAAAACACCGTTTGGTTATTCGCACATCGTCCAGTCAAATTCGTCAGCGTTTTTGCGTCATTGAGCAAACCATTGCCGGTTTTCTTTTTCTTTGCAGCAATTTGTGCACCATTTGGCGTAAACTAGTTTGAACGACTTATGACATATTTTTAATCCTGCCTAGACAGAAATAGACGGTAACGTAGAAACCCTTAAACAATTTGTAAAAAGCGATGCGCTCGCGCAATACGAGAACGTGTGAATGCAATATATTACATTCGTGCAATTGCTGCTCCAGTTACGTCAAGAATGCTACTCGACGGCGTTGTTCATGAATGCCAACGTAAACTCATTTTGGGAACATTGAAAAATAACTGCTGATAGGAAGTGGGGGGAGAGAGAGAGAGAGAGAGAGAGAGAGAGAGAGAGAGAGAGAGAGAGAGAGAGGATACGATGATCAAGCAATATGTTATACAATTATTACCCCTTTATTATGTGAAATCTCGTTTCTTTTTGGTTTTTCTGTTAGTAAGTTTTTTGAGATTTTTAATGAAAAATTTTAATTTTAATTTTGTCGAATATTGAAAAATTTATGCTGAATTATCCTATACTATAATCTTTTTTCTTTTTTTCTAGAACGTAACAAAATTTGGATGTAATAAAAAAAACACCCGTATTGAATTTCGAAATATATAGGATTCAAATTCGAAATTCTAATTTAGTTTTATTAAGATTTGAGATTGAAAAAATTTGGTAGGAAAATTGTCTTTGAAATCTTCTGCCAGTCTTCAAAGAATTTATATATATATATATA